AGATTGATAAGGTGAGCACTTCTTTACTCACATCTGAAGGCCTTTGATGCTCAGACAAGGATGAATGATAAGGCCATAAGAGTAAAGTCAATATATATCCAATATGAGAGGAGAGTTTCTGTTAGTTATGTCTACTGTCTAGTGCAAGCTGCTCCAAGAGAAACCAGGTTTTATTTTGGTGGTCTTGATCCTAGTCATCAACATCTGGAGGGCTTTTTCCTGTCTGCTAAAAAAGTACTGAGCTAGAAGCAGGATCTATTGCAAACTGCACTGGTAATGAGATCCAGAACTCAAGTAGTTGCACGCCCCTTACACTGTCCTGTTCTATTCATTTCCTTCATTCTCATACTGCTGTGTGACTCCTGTCTTCCCTTTTCTGCAACATTTGTCTGATCCAGGTTCAGGTTAGCTACTAACACTATCAGCACTCTTGTCTACTTGTACTTAAACTGCACATTTTCAACTTTACATTTAAGCTCCCCAGTCTCCTCCACTGCCTCCTCCTCCCCTTCTGCTTCATCTTTACTGGCCTCTTGCTCTGCACCACATCTGACAAGCATGTGCTGCAGAAAGTTTCCTCTCCCTTGTGCCCCTCTGGGAAGCCTTGCAAAATTAGCTAGACTGAGAGGTACATTACTTCAGACAGAGCAAGGGAAAGGGCTGCAGACAGACAGAGAGAGATACAGGACAAAGAAAGAAAGGAGAGGAAAAAAATAAAGATCATGAGGTGCAGCAGAGATGTGGTGAATGCTGAAGCAGTTTGAGAGTTCTTGACGGAGAGAAAGCAGGAGCAAGAAAACAAGGCTGTTGCATTAGGAAGAGGCAGAAAAAGTAAAGAGAAGAAAGAGAGAGGAAATACGGCCAACTGGCATAGTTTGAGTTAACTTCGCTCAGACTCACTGCCTGAGACTCAACAGGTTTCAAGCAGTGCAGACTCCAAACTGCACAAACTAAAGTTCTCTCAGCACGCTTTGCAATATGGAGGGTCTTTAAAAGCTGGAGAGTTGGATTCAGGATGATACAGTGCAGCACAGCTAAGAGCCATTGTTTTGTTTTGCTGTGGACACTGGTCTCTTTTCATCCACCTTGGTGCTTTGTAGTGCTAGTTTTAGTATTTAGCATCAACAGCCAGACCTACAGCACAATGGGCCTGTAGAATGGAGTATGATATTGATTTCTACAAACATTTTGCCTGGCTTAGAAAGGTAAGTCATTTTCCACTTGTATGTCTACTCTTCATACCTTCATATAGCACCACAAGTGAACTTGTTTGTTTCTTTTTTCCCTGCAGTGTTGTTGCTTTTACTTCATGCTTAGGGTTGCCATAGTAGGTACTGTGGGAGGAAGATGTGTTTTGTTTGTGAGCTGAAGAGGTGCTGCAAAATATGCAAAACATATATTCTACTATACAAGTCCCTCGTGGAATACAAAAGTTAATGAAAGAAAAGAACCAACTAATTAGCAGGCGTTTCAGAAAGTATTTGATTACAGGAATGTTGCACTCTTGGTTTGGGAAACATTAAGCATTAATGTTCTATCAAAGTCTTAAAGACATTATTTTCTGATTAAACTGAACACAACAACAAGAACAGACTTACAGTGACATGGGTTTTGACATAATACAGTAGCTAAAATAGTCTTTATCCATATAGAAGAGTCTTTATTCTGAGCAGTACAACTGGGTCTTGAAATAGTTTACTGGTTGTAACATGTGGGTGATTTGATAACAAGTCTATCACACTGGTCATAAGGTGGTTTGGGGAAAATGATAAATATATATATCAGCTATCAGATCATATGATATCAGCTGAGACCATTTTCTGCCACTTGAACCTATAGTGAACACATCTTGCTTACTTTAAGAAGCCATGAGGCCTGAGCTTTAATTCTTATTGACTGTTAGATCCATACGGGAAGCCTTGTCATTCAAATACCTGTCAGTCATTGTTGCCTACAGATTTGTATCAATGACATGTTAGCTATTAGCTGATGATCTATGAGTGAGAATTTGCAGACAGAGAAATGTTCTCTAAACCAGATATATGAGTAATCTTGATAAAGCACTGTATTAAACTATAATTGGAGAAGAAGGTACAGTAAGTACAATGGGCATTTACATGTAAAACCAAAAACCAGATATTGAAAAAATAGAAGTTTTTTCAGCTTACTATGACCTGGATTACTGAGAATCTGCACTGACATGTTTTTGATTAAGTTACAATACACATAGTTTTGCATCCTCGTTATTAGGGCCACTCGGTAAAACCCACAGATCAGATTCAGGGCTGCTTATTAGACTTAAGCCTCACTAGTGATAGTCCACATGTGCGTCTGTAGCTATGTGGAGGTAATGAGTCTCTGTGTGGCCTGATTGCAAAAGCTTGCTTGAAATAATTAAGTGCATAGCGTGACTTAAATGAACTGTAACAAGTAATCAAAAACTTGGTACTGCCAAATACTGAACTATGGAAGATATTAAGAGGACCACAGGCAGGAACTGTATACAAATGCTAATGCTAAATACTACAGTATCACTAAGTAATAACACTTAAATTATGCAGTTACTAAATATTCAAATATTACAGTGCTAAGTCTTAATAGTATTTTCAAATTACTGCAAACCACTTGTGCTGGCTGGCTTAGGATGATGGACGTTGAGCTACATAATGTTTCCATGAATGTGGTTGAAAGCCTGGATTTCTAGGAAATTTGAGTGCATTTGGTTGCACTTTACTTCCCTTGCACTGATGGCTCTGACATATCGCTGACTGCATTCAGTAGGCTACCCTAGAGTTCTGACTTTATCCAACACTTTTTCCTCACAAACAAGCCAGTATAAAATGTTGTACACAACTTTTAATGCTGGATTAGGATCTGTAAACCTCTTACAGACCTTTCCACACACAATCAATTGACACAAAAGAAAATTTAAGACTGAGAGCTAAGTTGTGCGCGCGTACCGCTTGTGCTGTGTACCCACTTGAGAACTTCAGTATTAACAGCAGACTTACTGACCTTAATAGCTGACTTTTATTCTGAAGGTAAACCTCCATTCAAACACCAACAGTGAGTCCTATCAGGAGCGGTTAACACGTCTGGAGGGAGACAAAGAGTCACTAATTCTGCAGGTGAGACTCGTCACACCACTGCTCTGGATATGCAAAACTTTTGTTGGGATGCATCTTGATGAATACAAAGCAATACTATATCTCTTTGTCTGCTTCTGTATAAGACTTCAAGCCTATATGGTATTTTAAAAAGCTGTTTCAGTTGTAAACTTTTAACCTAAAGCATGCCTGAGAGTCCATGTATGTAAGCTGAATTAATTCCATTGGCAATGAGCCTGCTCAAATAAAAGAGGACATATGACACCACGCTGCTAGTGGGAACTGATTCAACACAGTGCCCATATCACATAACAGTGTTGGAGAAGAGAGACGAGGAGAGGAAGGTGAAAGGGCAAGAGCGGATCAGAGTACTGTGTTGTAAATGTTGTGCAATGTCTTTTTTTCCATTTTTCTACTGGATGGGTGAAGCAACAGTTATAAAGTGGGTTTGGTGCCATTACGACACTAGAATGTCTTGTTTTGTGTGATGTGTTTGTTTGCGCATATGTGTGTAGGTGTGTAGCTCTCAGGACTGTTGAACAAGTGCTTATCTCAGACAGGTTGAGGCTAGCACCGCTGTGTGCTGTAGTATGTAGGCGTTTGTGAGAACAGGTGCCCTGTTTGTTTCTTCAGGCTTCATATAAAACATTCCTTTGGAAAATCTGCTCCAGTTGGCTGGTCAAACCTACATTTTAGCATGTGATTAGCTATTGTGTGGCCTTAATAACGTCTCTGCAGATTTACATTTAACCCACATTTTGCTGACACTGCTGGAGTCGCTTAAGTGTTGCAAGCACCTAGTGAGGCACAAAGACTTGTTCATTTCTTCTCAAAGGAAATGTCTGCAGTGTTTGATCTGGCACAGAAGTTGAGCACCAGCAATTATGTGAATATAGCTGACATTAATGAATGTGTACTGTGAGAAACTCTGTGATAAAAAAAATTTGAGGACTTAAGAATTTTGCTAGACCTAGGTTATAATTATGTGATAGGATATGAAAGTAAATGATGATTAAACAGTTTTATTGCCCAGAAAAGCATTCTCATCTCTACTATCTTTCCATCCACACACAAATACACACAGGTGAGTGTGCTGACAGACCAGGTGGAAGCTCAGGGGGTGAAGATCAGCGATCTAGAGAGTTCTCTGGTGGAGCATCAGCAGAAACTCAACTCCACAGAGGAGATGCTACAGCAGGTACACAACCTTACTGACCCCTGATCACGCAGATTTGAGTCAAACCGTGTTATGCTAGACTTCCTCTGTAACAAATGCTTGTTGTATTACTGGATCAAAGTCAGGAAACTCTGACTTTCACCAGGAGACATCCAGGGCTTTCATTTCATATTGTTCTTCCAGCTAATGAGATATGACAGGGGCCCAGACTTGCCATCTATCTTTTAAACTGCAGATTCAGTTTTTTTTCTCATAAACTGCAGTGTGTAACTAAGGATAAATTCTGTTTCCTTGGAAGAAATTCCTTGCTAAGATTCCAATGTATCTGGCTACAGACTGCCTTGACAACCAAAATATTTAGGATGCTCAGACTCATTCCAGGGCAATGTCTCTGCCTGATTTATGCAGGGCCAGACTGGTATGTCTGGACAGGTGATTACACCACCATTAACCACACCCACAACCTGAATCAACCAGGACTGAGTCACTACATGTTCACACACTGGCACATACACACATGAGAGAGAGGACAACAAAGAGAGGGAGGGACAGCTGAAAAAGGTGGAGAGATGGGAGGGAGAAATAACAGGGGTGGTGCTCCTTTAAAACTAAGAGGTTTACAACTTTCAGTTGTTTGCTTTTGACTTCAAATCTACAGCAGAGACTTTGCTAAGCTGTGCACTGAAGGGACTGGATGTATGAAACGCTAAGCTACTGAACCTACAAACCATTACACCCATGAGGGAAATACATTTACCCAGGCACATACTGGAGTAAGATGAACCAGGTAATAAACTGAATACATGTATTTCATTCTTATAATGCTGCTCCTGTGAATTTTACAACTAGACTGTTCACCCTATTCTGACAAATTGTAAGAGTGCAAGGAATGTGTCAGCTTCTTTGTGCAATGCTGTACTGTATGAGTGCAGAGTATCAAAGGGCAGTCAGGGCTGGTTTCTTGGAGACGTGGTCATTATGAGGCTTTGGACCTGAGCCGTAAATCTCTTCCTGGTGACAAAGCTCTAATATTTTCCATGTGCACACAAGAAGCAGCCCCAGATATTTTCCGCAGCCAGAATTCTAAATGGATGTATCCATATGTACTCTTTTCTTGTCTCCGAAGCTCATTTCTAGACTGATTTAGCACCTGCATGACATCAACCAAATTAGTAATACATCTTCCTACATAGTCTGGCTTAACTCTCAAGGCTGACAGCTAGCGAGGACAGTCACAAAACTATATAGCAGCTCCAGAGCCTCCCTCAGCACCAAATTTGATTGACAGCGGTTCACACCGACTGAAAAATGCACCTGTCATAGTTATTTTAATGTTCTTTCTAGGAATGGTTCATATGCTCTTGGTACCCTTCTCTCTCACTCTCTCTTGCCCCCTCTGCTGTGCACTTTGAGTGGGCTATGAAATAGGCATTATAAATAGTGGTCATGGGTTGTTGTATATTTAGCCACTCAACCAGTGTCTAAAACCAGTGGGTTTGTCTGAGGGGACTGTCATTACAGAACTCGTAGCTTGCTGTGCCTCATACTTAATGTTGACTTGACTCAGTAAGTACTGAGCGCTGTGCATCACTGAGGGGATCACGTATTTATGTACGTTTGTACTTACCTTTATGTCTGTGCTGCTATATGTTGTTGATGACAGGAGCTTTTGCATAGAACGTCACTGGAGAGCCAGAAGCTGAGTCTTATGGGAGAGGTGTCCCACCTGAAACTGAAGCTGGCAGACATGGAGGGAAGGCAGGGCCATGGGGCTGAAAGGCAGCACAAAGCAGAGGTGAGGCTCTTTACAGAGCCAAATAGCACAAGTTCTTGTGCTCAGAAGGTTTTGTTTACAGTATATGTAAATAATGTATGTTTTTTTTTTTTGCCTGAACCTATTTAAATATGTATACATCAAAACAAGGTTGCCTTGTTGGTTAATACCAGTCAGACTTGATTTACTTGCTGTTCCCTAAATTTGAGCTATCAGTAACTGGGTTTTGCATTTAAACTTCCTATTCCTGTTTAACAGATTTCTTTATGTGAATGTGAGAGGCTCATAGTCTGACCTCAGGGGACTTCTTGCAAGGAGTAAAATCCCCAGGAACATGTGTGGTTTGCTTCAATCCTTGAAAATTTGAACCTCACTCTTCCAGGAATACACACAGAAATCTGTTTTGTGTTCTGATGGATCAAACCTTCAAGTCAGCTGCTGATTTTATGAAAGACTTGAGACCTAAAACATAAACCATAAACACTTTCTGGACAGATGGAGGGGAATATTCACCCAAATCCTGGTCAAGTTGTTCCTGAGCACAGTCTACAGGAATTAAAGTCTCCCAGGGTTTTAAAATTTTTTGTCAGTTTAAAGTGAATAATGTATTTGCTTGAGACCAATGTGTTAGGTTACCAGCAGACATCCTAGGCATTCAGTGACCATATGAATTGGGGAAATGGAAAGCAGGGAAAGCAGCACTATTACTAGACAGGAAACTGTAATATATGCAGTTACTGTCAAAACACTGCTGGTCAAGGAAGCTTTGTGTCCTCATGTTAAAAGAGTTCAGGCATAGCAGAGCTGGCATGACGGGTGGTGGGTCAAATATGTGTGTGTGTGTAGGCTTCGGCCCAGAGTTCTGTTCTTAGCGGTGGGTAAAGGTTGAAAAGGTCATCCTGAAAAAATGACCCTTTTCTTAACTGAAGGCATATTTACAAAAGCATCTAACATTTATTTACCAAAAGAAAAAGAAAGATTCACATGTTTATAGAAATTAAATTTGTGTGTCTTATGAGAATGAACTGGCATAAGTGTGTTTTAAAAGAAATTCTGCTTTCTTTATATTACAAACCTAATAGGAGAATAAGAAAAATATGCTTTCAGTCCTTTACTGGTCTCCCACGTGCTGGCTCTACTACACAAACATGTGCACACACATATACTTGTTTGCACAAACACATTGTATTCAAGTGTCCTTGCTGTGGAGCCAGTAAGCTCAGAGTTAAATTTAGCCATGGAGGCACTGCATATCATCTGTCATATCCACTGTACTGGACCCCAAGTGACACTTCCTCTGTCCACAGTCCGAGCATAACTCGGCTGCTGTTTACACTCATATTGAGGGAACATGGGCACGGATCACCTCTAAAAGATTTCAAACCTCTTCACCCTTTTTGTGATTTAGCATTGCAAACCACCCGTTTGACAAACACCATATGCATGAAGTTGGTGAAAGACAGAGGGTGGTTCAGGTTAATGAACAAATACAAAGCAAGATGTGTTACCTAGTCCTGATGAGACTAACTGGGCCAGTTTGTCTGTGTATGGGGACCAGCCTGTTTTTCTAGTACACGTTCACTAGCATATTTATATGTTCAGGCTCAAGAAAAAAATCTACACTTTCTATACTAAACTGATTTGAAAGGTCACATCTATAGCAGTGTATTCACACACAAACAGACACACTGTACACACCTACTCTACTGTATTTCCTTTTCTCTTTCTAAATATTTCTTTCAATTCTTCCTCTCGCCCCACTGAATCTGTCAGACTGTAGTGAATTTCATTAGTGAGCTGCAGGAGCAGATGTGTAGGTTTCAAAAGGAAATCAATAACAAGATCCAGGAGAAAAAGGCTTTGGAGACTCCCACTGAAAACAGCTCCACTGTGTCCACTGAGAGCCAGGGTTCTAACCCCGGGCCATCCTGTGACAGAACCGCAGGGGGGAACAATCTAGAAGAGGCTGCAGATGGACATGATGGGAACACACACAGCCTGGAGGAGGGTAGCTCAGAAGCAGAGCAGCAGAACCACTATGGCGGACAAAGTGTAGGCACAGCCTGCCTGCATGACTTCTAATATCCCCAGTCGTGTTATATGTCATTGTGCACCTTTGTCAGTCTTTTTGGAGAATCCTTACACTTAATCATACATGTGTTATGCACTAGTGTGTGACACAACTAACAGGTACATTTCATGTGATTCAACATGTGCTATGAAAGAACAATGTGCAGATTTACAGTACTAACATTATCTGAATACTTACAGTAAACAATTGACACTGATCTGCTTTTAAGGGTTCATTTAATTACTCTCTTTTTAGGGCTTACTGAAGGAGCTCAGGGTTCTAAAGGACAAAGTAGAGCACCTGGAGGATCAGAAGCTACAGTATGAGAAGAAACTCAAAGCAACAAAGGTAAAAGAAAGCTTAGATTTTTCTGGTGTCTCTCTTTCATAATACATCATCAGTGCCCAAATTCCACTGCTAACTATCCACTCAACTTTCCTAAATGATGTCCAATCCAATGTTCCAGCCAGTTAAATGAGTCATTCTCTTTTGCACATGCTCACTCATTCACAGACACATTTTCTTAAGAAGTCAAAGGCCTATTTTACCGTCTATTTTAAGGTGCTGTAGAAACAGATTTAATAATGGCTCAGCCTTTTTTTTTAAATATCATACTTCTAAGCCTTGGAATGATCCCATTGCACTAACCTCTTAGACTTGAACTATTTCATTTGCTCTGACTCTTTGTCCTGTTTATGATAACATCATTCGTTCTCCCATGGACTCCCATTATTTCATCATCATCTCTTAGTTAATGCTTGCTATTTTTCCATTCCCGTACAATAGCTGTCTGTATATTACAATCCATGGTGTTGCTACTTTCCTACCTATCTACTCATACAGTGGTTTGAATTTAAAAGACACAACAAATTCCTGGAAAACCTACAGGCACAACATTAAGGTCATGTGGAAAGGATGTTTTAAAAGATGGAATCTACTACATACTGTACCCCTCATTTTAGTCATTCTGAATGGAGGTCCATGCTGCACAATATGCACACATATACTGTGTAATTCAAAGTAATCTGGAGTTTTTTAGATACTCATCAAATATCCTATTGGCATCTTTCCATTAACCCGATGTTTACCCACAACTGCAAAATGAACAACTGCTACATTTCACAGAAATATCCTCCTTGCTATTCTTGCCTTGGTTACTGGTAGCACATTGTAAGACAACAAGCCAGGAAAATCTTACTGCACCTTAGAGTAATTGAGTACAGGTCTGTTGAAGTCAGATTAAATGCTTTTATGTGCAAATTTATGGATCTTACTCCACCTTTTAACACAAGGGAAAAATAAAACCAGTGGTATGGGAGGGGAAAAGTGCACGTTCCAAGTTTCCTTCCACTTTCTTATAAAGACAGAATACACTGGCAAAGAGATCAGCTTGAACTAAGCTTTATTGCTAACTGTTTTTCATTATACTATAACTTAAATTCTTGACATCAGCTTAATATCTGATTTCCTAAAATTCAAAGAAGAAGCATATCTGTGTTTGTTGTGGGTGTTTAACATAATGAATCGGCCATAACATTATGACCACCTGCCTATTACTGTGTACACAGGAGTCAGTGTGGCAGTTGGTTGGCACTTGTGTCACTCGGCAGCTCACTGTGCAACTTCTGTGACTTTGTTTGCTTGCATCTGTCAGGAAAAGCACAGACGTGTCAACCGTTCAGTGAAAAACTTATGTAAAAGGAATGAAAGCTGTGGTTGTGAGGCCAAGTTAGAATCTTTTAGACAAATTCAACAGCCTCCCCACTAGGTGCGATATCACCACTGACTGTTTCTCTTCATAGAGATCAATGTATAATGTTTCTCATTTTCAGAAAGTTATGGCTGATTGGTGAATACTGCAGGTAGAAGTGAAATAAATATTAATAATTTACAAAGTTTATGAGTATGTGTACTGGCACTTTAAATTAAGATACATGTGCACATCTTGTTCTCGTTTTGGCTGTACATGTTTAAACAAACATGTTGGCATTTTAATTAACTCCATTCCTTTTCTGCTATGATTTCTGCTATGGAACTCACAGGCAGAGATCAGCAGCCTTCAGCAGCTTCTGCTCAGTAAGAACGCTGAGATCGAGAGCTTGCAGTCTCAGCTGCTGGCCAGACCCTCTCTATCCACTGAGAGCTCAGAGAGAGGTAAGCAAAGCAACCTGGCTTCAAGCCCTCGGCCAACCTGCCAACAATCACCTCTCACTGTGAGACTTAGCCATCCTGAACCAGCCTGATGGCTGACACAGTTAATGAGTCCTTTTTGCATTCATTAACTTGCAGTAACAGCTGTGGGAAAACTGTCTCGGCCCTTAATAAACTGTCTCATCATGAGTCTCTGTCTCTCTCTCTTAGAGGAGATGTACAGGAAGAGGCTAAACACCAAATGTAAGCCTGAATAGTACTTAATGAAATTTATTTTAAACCCATGGGCAATGTCTTCTTTTGATTTCTCATTTATTTCCTTTCTCCAGACACATCTCTTTATTTTATTATCCTTTTCCCTTCTGCTCTGAGGGACACTCACCAATCAGTTTCCAAAATTACCTGATGCACTGTTTCCCTTCCCTTTGACTTCTTGGTTGTCTTTATGCATTCCTGAAAACATAAAATCTTGTTTGTTCTTAAATTCGTCTGTCATAGATAAACTCTTCTCTGGGGTACTTGCTTAGTTTAATTACTGTCACTCACCAACAATGCTGCCTTTATGTCTGCATTTGTTACAGAAGTGTCTATGATTTGGGGGTCCAAATATGTAAAAGCTGACATGGCTAAAGCTGTGATTGGTAGATAAAAAAGGCATAAATGAACCCAAAAATACATGCTTGGATGACACTTTAGAGTGAAATAAATCTAGAACATGCTAGCACGTACTCAATTTTTACCTTTAATTTCCTTCGACAATAAATTACACTGAATGGGTCTTTACAAAATGTTCATTTATGGTATATGACATATGCACCTGCCTGTGCAGATTAACACTGTAAAATTTTTCTTTTTAGATCAAGAACTGCAGAGGCTTAGGAGTGGAATGAAATCACTGACAGCTGCAAATGAGGAAAAGGTACGTTACCGGGACTCTGGAGTCCTACCCCTTTCACTTTCTGGTCAGCACAGCTGTATGAGATTCACCAGTATAGAGCAGAGTGTGTGACGCGTTTACCACGATGTAAAGTGTATTACTGGCCTGTAAACACAAGTGCTATCATCGCTGCTGTCTGGAGGGTTAGAAGGTAACTGTTTTTAGATGTCATTTCTTAGAGGCGCCACCCTCCAACCATTTATAGTACAGAGGGGCTTTTGTATTCTCCCTCCCAGAGAATCTTGGACTTAAAAGACTTACAGCTGCAGCTCTACATGTGGCGCACTAGTGAAGACACACACATGTATACACACCCCAAGGCGAGCCATTTCAGGCAAAGCCACATTTACAGTAAGTAGGTCTCAATCTGCCAAGCCTAATTTTGGAGTGAGCTGCATTAAGAGAACCATGGGCAAAACCAGACATTGGCACCACTTCAAAAAACACACACTCCACGCAGCTGCTCACCACAACTAAGATTTCTAGCCAGGCCTGTGTCAGTGCCCTCCCATACAGCATTTTGATGTAAAGGCCATATGGTGAAAGAGGGATGTTTGTGTAACAGAATGAAGCAGATGGTTCAAACGCGTAGCCCAGTGTATGTCTCCTAACCTTAGACAAACATCTTAATTGGGTTTTGTTGACCTTGAGCCTTCCTTTCTGTTTTCTGCAGGACCGGCGCATTGAAGAGCTCACTCTGCTCCTGAATCAGTGCAGGCAATTCAGAGAGGTCACTCACACCACAGTGCAAGGTAATCAGCTTATTCACTCCTTTATCTTTCTCCTCATGTATTTGTATTTTGTTATCAGCAACATTTGGGCATAATGAAACTTCCTTCCTTTACAGACATGTGTGCCAAAGATTTGCTTTCTTTGTTACTGTAGCTCCACCTGCTGTTCATTCATTGCCAAACAGCAGGACACAGTCAAGCAGCAGTGAGGAAGAAGAGCAGAGGCTGATGAAGAATACTGACTCTGCCAGTGCAAAGTCTGAGGATGTAGAGTCTGAAGTGGGTTTTAACTGGTCTCATACCAATTTAAGTTTGTTTGCATATGTATCATTTTGAATATCATTTCATTTTCTCTAACTTTTACTTTTGCCCATCACAGATTTCCAGAAACAGCTACTCCTCCCAGCAAATATCACTTTCACCAGCCCAGAAGGACAGTGACTCCAGGTAGTGTAGCAACCATTCATCAGAGGATGACTCTGATATCATTTATTTGGATTTTATTGAGATAAATGCGTTTTTATCTTCTCAGAACAGAACTGCAGACTTTATCAAGTAGCATGGATGACCTGACAAATGAAATTTCACAGAAGGTATTTTCTAGTAATCCAGTATGTTAAGTACAGCTTGTTAACAACTGTACAAAGTCTTCCATCATGTGTGCATGAAAAAGTCCCAATGTGCTCATTTGCACATATAATTACAACTGATTTGTTGATTCTACAAATTTACTGCCTGCTCTGTTTATGTTTGCGTGGTTTATCCAGGGTGATCTGCGTGACACCAGAAATCAGACACTGCCTGTGAATTCCTCCTTGTCAGAGCAAAATGGGATCAGAAACAGCGGCAGTGAAATCCAGAGACAAAGGTCTCCAGATGGAAGCGAAGATGGAGACTCCAGCCAAAGTAAATACAGAAGTATTAACTCAAGGCTATACAGGATATACAGTTATACTCCCCAGCGCTGGATCAGGTTTGTTTTTTTATGTCGAGTAGTCCTGAGTCTAATATTTCCCATGAGCCAAAGCAGTTTTCATATTTGGAGCAAACCACTCCCATTTGACCAGACGACCGCTACTACGTTTGATCACAACTAATTGCAGAATTTCCTGATAGTAAAGATGAATCATGGGATAGACTTTGTTACCAAGCACACGCCTCTCTCTTGCTCTGAATGACCACATTCAACTCAGCGCCACCCTTCCTCCTCAGTTTTAACTTGAGCCCCACCCAGATTTCTCTCTGCCAATTTCTGCTGTTGAGTGGAGACTGACTGCAGCTCATATCATAAAGATTGCATGCTGTAAAATTTATCTGAAACCCTTTCTTTTTAACTGGGGCATTAACTGATGAATGATTTGCTGAACTGAGTGAGCTGTAATCTGGGTTAGAACCTTGTGAAAAGGCAGGCATCCACATACTGTATATGCTACTTAACTATTTAAATGCTGTTTGACTGCTGTTTTAGTCCCTCATCAAGATTTTATCTCCAACCAGTTCACAAACACAAAAACTACACATTTGGAAAGATCACATTTTTCCAAATATATCATTGTTAAAATCTTAATTTGGCAAGATTAGAGTGGAGCAAATTGTTATGGGTAAACTGCAATTTTAGCTAAAATACATCTCTAAAAATGCAGCATATTTGCAGTACCCCTTTATAGTACACATAAACAATCTGAATCATAGTTGTACTTAATAGTATTACACTGATTGTGGTTTTCTCTTAAAGGAAACCAGGAGAAAGTAGATGACAGCACTTCAAGCGATAATTTTCCTGTTCATTCTGGGGCAAATACACAGACTGGCCAGCGAGCTGTGGGCTCGGCAGAATACATGAAGAATAACAGGAGCTTTAGGAGACTCTGGGGAAAGTGAGTGTGGAAAACTACATCATTGCATCAGTAATAATTTATGACAAAACATTAAAAAGAGCTAATGTTGCCTGGAATTAAACAGTTCTGAATAAAGTATATGCATAAATATAATATATAGTTTATATCACATATATTCAATAGGTTTTGCATAAACAACATATATTAGTTTACATCCTGTAAAGAGGAACAAATATGTTGTAATATAAAGTTACAATAATATAATAACTCTGACACCTAATACAAAATTACTTAAAATACACACTTACAAATACAAAGCTGAGGATGTGGAGTAATAAATGACTTACTGATTTTCATTACTGACTTTCATTATTCTCTAGAGTATGTTCCATTATCATCTTTATCTGACATCTTATTCAAATTAATCAACAATGTAGTTTCTGATTGTGCCAAATCTACTATTATTTTACTTTGAGAATGGAAGAAGTTGCCAGAATTTTTATCCAGTTTATCCTCATCCATACAGACTTCGAAGAACCCAGTCTGGAGGGCTCCAGGCAGCCGATCCAGATGGCGGTCAGTTTAGAAGAGGGGGACTACGAGCTACAGCTGGACCCCGACTGACCAGGACCCCTGAATCTTATAACTCTGCACAGTAAATATACACTGACCTGGCCTTGTAGTACAGTACTCCTATTTTATAGACTTCTTACCTGTATGTCCCCCATTTTCTCTGGTTCTGTAAAATTATCTGGTTTGATTGTCTCACCCAAAATGATAACAGGCATTACAACTTCTTTTTAGCATAACAAATTTGGTTTTAATTGCATTAATTACGATTTAATTTGTTGCTTTTTCCATCAGTGATATGAATATCCCATTCAGCCAGTGGACCAAGGAGCAGGTGTGTGGCTGGCTTGAGGACTATGGACTGGGCCAGTATGTCAATCTCTCCAGACAGTGGGTTGAGAATGGCCAGACACTGCTGTCTGCCACACCTCAGGACTTTGAGAAGGTCAGAGAATAGCACATGATAGTTATGACCACTAAAATATCTGACATTTAAAATTCAGCAATAATGAATATAATAAATTACAATTAATGATTTAGATCAGGGTAAATTAAATTGCAAAGCATGTGGGCAAACCTCCAATTATATCCCAATCGTTAGTTTTATTGTGACAAATAGTCTCTTGTGGTCTCAGGAGATGGGTATGAAGAATCCACTGCACAGGAAGAAGCTGCAGCTCGCTTTGAGGGCATTCACCACTAAAGTTATGGAGAAGCCATCAGAGCTGGACCACATCTGGGTTACCCGTAAGACACTTCCAACATGGAATATTTGGAACTTCTAATGCTGCATGCTCTCAATTGAACCAGATCTACAAATATTAGGATTTCTCATACCACAAACCAAAGAAAGAAATGTGAAGTGTAAAATGTAAATATATTAACTAGTGAGCAGATATAGTGAACATGCTCTTACAGCACACTGCAGATGAAGACAGTATCAGTGCTAAAAAGTGCTTTAAGTGAAGTAAATCAGTTAACAGTTTTATATGTTTAGGCTGGTTGGATGATATTGGTTTGCCTCAGTATAAAGACCAGTTCCATGAAGCTCGAGTAGATGGTCGAATGATACAATACCTCACAGTGGTAAGGCTTAATCCTGTATGTAGATGCCTACAAAAACATTTATTTGAATTTCAGACATGGTTTAAAAACTTAAACTAAAGTTCACTGATGGTCTTTTACTGTTCACCCAGAATGACCTTTTAACTCTAAAGGTCACCAGCCAGCTTCATCATCTCAGTATTAAATGTGCCATCCATGTCCTTCATGCCAACAAATTCAACCCCAACTGTCTTCGACGTAGGCCAGGGGAAGAGGTAGGTTCAAATGGAAAGAACTAGGCTGAAGTTGAAACTGTGCACTGTGCCAGTGTGTATGCTATGTAGCAGTTATGTTATGTAAGACCAGAATGTAACACACTGCAGACATTAAACTTTTTATAAATGTGTTTTAATGAGTTACTATTCTCAGAGGGTGAGCTGGTGTCATCACATCAGTTGCCCACAAGATGGCGACAGACAAATAAATGTCAAATGTGCCCCAGCAGAGCATTTTTCCTTTCATACTATTGCTCATAATGCTGTGGTGCTGTTTAGGCTCCATTCTGCCCACTTCTTGTGCATTTAGACAGGAGTCAAACCATTACAAGAGAGATGACAGGGGATATGATTCCAATTATATTTGTATTTTTAACATTCTTCAGAAACAACCCTCTCCCTCAGAGGTGGTGCAGTGGTCTAACCATCGGGTGATGGAGTGGCTAAGAGCAGTCGACCTAGCTGAGTATGCCCCTAATCTACGGGGCAGTGGCGTTCATGGTGGGCTGATTGTAAGTACTGTCAGTTTTGAGTTTATGTGAAAGTTCTTCAGGTGATACCATGACATGCTGACTGTACATGACATGTCTGGAAACCTAAATTTGTTACTGTCACTATGCCCTTTCATAGATCCTGGAGCCTCGCTTCAGCTCAGAGACTTTGGCCTTGCTATTAAATATTCCTCCTCAGAAAACTTTGCTCCGCCGCCACCTCACAACCGCCTTCTCTGCCCTGGTGGGGCATCAGGCCATGCAGGAAAAGCGAGAGTATGGCAATGCTACAGGCCATGTTCCCCTCACTACCACAGCTAAAGTGAAGGTAAAAGTAACAAATCCAAATGTTCTGTAGTTGCTGCAGCATAAAACCAAACTGATTTATTAATGGGTTTTTATATTTTCAGCCAAAGAAACTGGGCTTCACCCAATTCAGTCACCTCAGAAAAAGAAAACCTGATGATTCTGCCGACTATATCTGCCCAATCGACAGTGGCGCTCTGACAGTGAATGGGGTTTCCCGATTACCCCCTGCAGCACTCAGGGGACTCCGTTCCAGCTTGGACAGGCAGGCTGAGAGGCGGGAGCAGGTTGGAATAAAAGCTCAGGCTCACAACACCAAACAATAACTGGAAAACATCAGCAGTCACACCATACTCCTCTCTTACTAAGTGACTTTTGTTAATCAGTCGAAATTCTACTATTCGTCCATATGGTGATTTTCTGGACGGGCTGCAAAGATGTTGTTTACCAACAATTAACATCACCTGCTAATGTAACCAGATCTTGATTAAACAATTTAAAATTGTGGTGACATTGTGTGAAATGTTTTATAAAAGCTGCTCTCTGCATTCCTTATACAGTTGGATTCCAAAGTTTATATATTTGCTTTCAAACAATGCATTTTTCTAAACCTTTTTGTAGTGAAAATTATGTAGCTTTAGATCTTGTTATATATCTGGATTGACTGTGCAGTACAAGTGACTGCGCTGACTTTGAGCATGGATGCTTCTCTTTCTGTATGAGTGACAAAACAATTAAAGATTTATTCATTGTGATTCTTGATGGTACACCAATAGTACTCTTCTGCACCTTCAAATAAAGCTTGCTGGTATACCTTAGGTTTCTCCTACCCAAAATGTTGCCTTGATTCATAATGAAATGCAGTTTCATTGTGAAAAGCAGTAATGTAATAAACATCAGGTCAAAACTTGTTGGGACTTTTTTTGTTTTTACAGGAAATAGAAAAAAAACCCTAACTGCATTATTAGTTAAAGCTAAATTTTCTCTAAACAATTTAATCAGATTTAAATTTGGCTTGCTTTGTGCATTCTTTTAACTAACAGACAACTCACCTAATACCACTGTACTGTAACTGTTACAGTTACTAATGGAATTGATTTTAATGTTTCATTTTACACAAACAGAACACTGTAATGTCACAAAGTCTCGATAAATGGCACTGACTGGGGCTGTTTTTTTTTTAAATCATTTTCAGTCTGAGTGACACTACCAGGATTGTACTGGTGTGTAGTACCAAGGCAGACAAGGCGTCAGTCAGCTGCCCTCTGAACCCTTCTGCAAAAGCACACAGCCTCAGTTATACCAAACACAATAATTAGGGAATCTTGCACCTCTGCATATCATTAGTTTCCTGCATCCTAATCAATAATTACAAATGACAGGTTCATAAATAAATTAGTCTTGCTGATAGGTGTGTAACACTTCTCAATTGATCCATGTTAAATGGTAATTAGAGGAATGCAGGAGTGAAGCTTGGGATAGTTTTTGCAGAAAGAATAGTTTGCAAAGGTTCTAGTTTTGTTTTAAAGCAGAATATTCTGAGTATACCAGTTTCTCTCTCATTTCCTCTTTTGAACACTATTAGTTGAAGTTCATTACCCTGAAAAATCATAAATAGAAGAAAATAAAAAGAAGTTTCCATTTTATGATGTTGTGAGAAAAAAAGGATTCTTCTCTAAATGCATGATCACTGATTCCTCCCAAAAGTCAACATATAGGGAGGCAAAGTGAGAAGGAAATGGATGAAAAATGCTTGTACAGTACCATATTTCACAAAGTAAATAACTGTGGGAGAGAATAAACTCGGTCATGTCACAAACTGACTGATCTGAGAGTAATTTTCCACCTTTATCTCTAAAGAAATGTCTCAATCTACTTACATTAGGTACATTAGTATATAAATAGACACTACATTAAAAGTTACAAATATCGCATTTTCAGGAACTGGGGGAGGTTTTTATCATATCACCATAACTTTAGTACAAAAAAGGCAATTTATCTGCTAGCGATCTTATGATAAAGTGTGCATATTTTGGGCTGTCAGTTAATTTGTATCCGCTACGACTGGTCTTTGTGAGACTTGTGTATTTTAGGTAATGTATAAAAGTTTGGTATTATATCTTCTTATTGTTGAGGAACTTTATTTCTGATTTTACAAAAGTTATTTTAGGAGTGTAAAACTATGAGTAGGATCACCTTTCAATTTGTTGTAAAATATTTTATCTCATATTTAAGCACATAGCCTCAATTATACCAAACATAATGATTAGGGAATCTTATTAACTATGCGTTTGTTTCCTACAGCTTGATCAATAACTACAAATGACAGGTTTACAAGTAAATTTGTCTTGCTGATAGGTGCGTAGCACTTCTCAACTGAGCTGTGTTAAATGGAAATTAGAAAAACGCATTTTGGGACAGATTTTAGAGTGGTCGTCTCCCAACAGGAGGGTTGGAGGTTTGAATCATGGTCCCTGCAGTCTGCATGTTGAAGTGTCCTTGGGCACTGAACCCCAAATTGCCCCCAATGGCTACAGCCATTGGTGTGAGTTGGTGCCGCAGATGGCTGCCATGGTTCTGTACAAAAACAAATTCCTTGTGTTACACACACAAGGAATATACTTGGCCAAATAAAGGTTATTATCCTTATTTTGCAGTAGGTAAGCTGCAAATACAAAGGAGGTGGCTGTAACACTAACATTTTTCTTAATGGCTGGGACACATCTGATATATGTTGTAAATGGCTGCATAGTCATTTAGGAGATGTAGAAACAAAGTGAAGTTTTCCAAGGCATGAATCCTTATCTACAACCAGCAGATGTCAGTGTTGCCTATATGTCATGTACTTTAAAGTCGGTCAGCGCTCAACCTTCACAGTTGACTCAGTCATGTACACATGCATAACACAACTGGTAAATCTCAAATATACAGAAAGGCATGCATTATAGCATTTCAGAAAGTAAATACAACTTTAATAGGGCAGTAGAATTTATCCAGATTGCTTTGTTTTAAGTAACACTTTATTTTACAGGTCCAGTTAATTTATTTCCTAATTATTTGTCTGGAAGGAACCATATAATTTGGTATTAATTATAGGTAAAGATTCGGTACATCTCTAGTTGTTTCTAAATGCTACGCTAGCACAAACCTGAGGCTTTTCTTCAGAGGACAGAAGGTGAGCTACACATGGAAAGTGGAAACTTGTTTGGAAACCATACAATTTAGCAATTTATGAACACCATAACAAATAATAAATGAAGAGCAAATATTAGCTAGAGTTAACAGTTTAGAATTTCCTCTGGATTATACTCAACAACACAGTGGACTGACTCAGACTGGTCTCAGAACTCTACACCACAGGAAACTCAAGAAATTAAGAAATCGCAGACCTGTAAAATAAAGTGTTACCCTGTTTTATAATGGTTTTTCCTTTTTTGTGTGTTTGTTTTCCTATAGGTTTATCTGTGTATGTGTGTATGAGTAGTAGTGTATATAAGAGAAGATGGCATTGTTGATAATACATCTCAGCTAATTTCAGTAATGTGATCCAGCATCCACTAGCTGACAGTTTAATAGCTATTATTTGTGTCACCCTCTTTAATAACACTTAAGCAGTAAGCAGTTGCTGCGTGCAGGAGGCTGTGGTTTGACTGACATCTTATCTTGCAATATGATATCTATTGTTTTAATTAAGTTAAAGTGATTGTGACATTTATTGGTTTCAGAGTTTCTTGTTAATGACGGTATAAGAAAAAAGAGGAAGTGAATTATCATAGCTTACATTACATAAATAATTTGTAAACCCTTTGCTGATGATTACACTGTATTCTCCCCCTTTGACTGTCAATCTATTTAAATACATCACAGATAAAAAAAAATCTATTAATGATGCAATGTAAACCCTCTCTAGGCAATGCCTGAGCCTCCTCTCTCCTCTGTCTCAACTTCTTTATGTGCCCTTGTGTGTGTGAGTGTAATGTTTATTTATTCTGTATCACTTTTGTCCCTAAAATTTTCCATAAAAACTACAGAGGCATACCTAAATTCTGTTACTAGGGCTCCATTTTTAAAGTGATGCCAGTAGCCATTGTGTTAGTGCTTTAAGTCATCACCCTGTCTGTTTGATCTATGGACTCACTCAGATGTCTTTAGCGAAGCGTAATCATGTTTTCATATGATGTCACTGGTCGTTCCTGTCATTAACTTGCCACCAGCTTGCCAGTTTGGGGAACATATTCGATGTTCGGGTGGCGCATGTGTTGCATACTCCCCATTCAGCCACTAAAGCTGTATCTGTCTCCAACACACCAGTTTGTTCTGACAGGCCTGCCACAATGATGACTGCATCACCCAGATGCGGCAGAGCAGCTTGAGAGCCAACCCTGACATGTCGTCAAAAGGAGCAGCCAGCCGTCTGCATGAGCCTTCTTCTGCCCCATCAAACCTCAAAGCCCATCTTATCCTGCACAGCCAGCAATCATCAGCCAAGCTGTTTGTCTGTCTGCTTTCCATGCTAAGTGCATCCCATGGTTTAGATGTTGTTTTGTAACGTTTACTACCAAACTGCATGACTGTAAACCTCCCTGAATTATCTGCAGAGTAACTGAGCCAACCACATAGAATCTGTGACAGTGGTGGTTCACTATAAGAGTGATGACTTGGAGAAGTGAAGAAGAAGAGCTGGGTTATGATTTGCCCCCTTGGTGCCAAGGGGCCTTTTTACCAGTAGCCAAGGCAACTCTCACCCTGCCACGCTGTGTTTCTGGACTGGCTTTTTCATTGCCTGAAAAATGTGGCCTGATTTCTGAATGACACAGGACACAGACCAGTCACTATGAGATAAGACCATTACAGAGACATTTAAAGAGTCCTCCAACCATACCCACCACAGTGAACACGGTGTCACCTCTCTGGTCATTTAGTCAACATTGCATTTTGTAATTTATTAACAGGATGAAATAAACTACATGTTCCCTTATAAAATAGTGTGTAAACCTGTCATTAGACAGCTTTAAATGCTATAATATATACAACTTTATCAAACTCTGATTTACTCTGAATGAATACATAGGAAGATGACTTCATATTTTATAGAATATTATTGTTATAATACTCTGTCATTGTGATGCAATATATTTTACAACTATAAAGATTTGTCCAGAAATATGACTAATACACACACAACAATACACAAAAAATGACAGACTCTTGCAACACAATTAGCGAAGGAGAAGTTTTTACAAGCGGTCTGCAACAGAGAAAGCAAAATGACAAAGGCTATCACAGCCAGTGAAAGGGGTCTAAAAAACAGAAGCATAAACAACTGACACAAAGGGAGTTGTGACTGTCCACCTCAATGTTTGAATAGTTGTTCTGGCTGCCAAAACTATCACAAAAGTGCTGAAACTCAAAAGAGCTCCAGTTTTCAGAGTGGAAGCAGTTTCCTTACCCCAGGCCATCATCATGGGTGATCAAGACCGACATGCATCACCAGGGGCTTCATGTCCGATAAGAACACCTGTCTGACTGTCTGGGTGAAACTGGACAGAGGGATGCCATCGCAAATAAGATTTTATGTGTGCCGCACTGCCTCCAAAGACACAGTGGCATCGTACACCAAGGAGGGGTGGAGATACAGAAAATAAACCCGGTGAATGAAGCTTTTCTTACACACTGGTTATCACATGATAAAAACAAGTAATGTGTGTCAGTG